GATGAGGTCTGCGGGCAGGAGCCGGGGAGCGCGGCCTTCCTGGCGGGTGGTGCCGGCGCCTCTGCCTCTCGCTTCTCCCTGCTGACAGCATGGCTGTGTAGGGACTGAAAAGTCACCGGGGGCGCCCGGGCCGGGGCCGTGGTGCTGGCAGAGCCGTGCGGCTTTGCCCCGTAAGGACGGGGGATTGCAAAGCCTCGCAGCGAAGGAGGGATGCTTTTAGAGGGGAGATTTTCCGTTTACGTTTTTCTAAGTGTACGGGCTGGTGACAAATCTTACGCGAGCTGCGAGGCTTGTCGTGTGGTTGGGAGCCTTTTCTACCCTTGTGCTGCCTCGCAGTGCTACAGGCTGTGTGTGTAGCGTAGCTACACTTTGCCGTGTGTGCTGCTCGGGATCCCCTTCTCTTCGGGTGTCCGCAGCTCTAGACTCTATTACAGTCACCATAAGCAGAGTTACAATAACATATCTCAGCACACAGGTACCTTATAGCGGCTACAGACAGGCAATATGCCAGTTTACAACAGAATATCTGAGGTGATTACAGCGCTACATGACACAGTAATGGAGACAGATGGAAAGTCTGAACCTTGGGGTTGCATGCTCAAGTGCTTGAACCCTACTGGGCTGAGTGTTGGCCTCCTAGGAGTACTCCCAGTTCTGGCTTTGCATGCCTAGGTCAATGTTTGCTTTTTGCCTCTTGCATAAAACTCTTGATCAGAGTTTTGCGGCATGACTTTGAGTAGCTGATGAACAAGATTTTAGATCGTGACCGCACAGGTACGTTTCGTTCCAGCGGTAGCTTATTCACACGTCAGAGTTCGTTCAAGCTATGATAATGTTTCAGGCCAAATTTTTCTTGGTTTTCGTACAGTTGCCTGAGGAACTTCTAGATTAGAAGAAACAAAACAAAAACTTGGTGCTTAGTTTGTATCCCTGTAGCTCCTTTGCAGGTTGGTGGTATTTCTCTTGCCTCATGAAGTTCCGTATCTGCCTGTCACAGGCTGGATGGGAAGACTGAGCTTTAGTGTTTTCAACACTGCAGTGCAGTTGTGTTTCAGGTTTTATGCTGGGGGTGGGGGGTAGGGTAAAAAAATGTTGTGACTGATTAATGGGCACCACTCTTCCTGGACAAAAGGGCTTTGAACCAGTGCTGGTCAGTCCATTGTTTTAATGAAGGCTGCATGTTTAGAGAGACCGTGTAGGTGAATGGCTGTAGGGTACACACGGTAATAGTATTAGAAGACCCCTGGACTGTTGTGTCCAAAGCTTCAAAAACTACCAGAGGCCATATGGTAGGTGTCTAATTCCTAGAATCCTTCCTGCCATAATCTATGAGTAATTGCCCAATGAGTTATTTTGAATTTAATCTGTAATAACGCTGCCAGGTCACGTCTGTCATATCACAGGAAAACGCCATAGGAGAACAAAGGCCAGGCAAAATAGGCTAATACTTTAAAATGCACTTTTTAAAGGTTATTTTGAAATTTACCTATCAACACTGAATTAATTTCTTTTCCTTTTCTATCTCAAATTTTCATTGCCCAGAATCTGAGAGCCACAAAAATAATTAAATTATGGATTAATAAAATCTGTAGAAGAACTGAAAAGCAATACTTAACATGTACTTTGGTATGAGGTCTTCTAATCTGCTAGTGTCCCACTAGTAGCTAAAACTATCCATTAGGCTTTGGAGCATTTCTGAACTCCGTGTTGTATTAAGCTACATTGTGTGATACCAACTATTTATCAGGGCCTGTAGAGCTCACCATGAAACCTGAGTTACTCCTGCAATGAGCTGTTGTTCTAAATGGACAGTGTAGTGGCATGATGAAGAAGGGGAAGTGGAACTATATGATTTGATTGGTTGTTTTTTTCCTTAAAATTCTGTCTTCCCTGTCGGACTCTTTGTGGTTTGTTTTGGTTTTTAGCAAGGTTGTGGTGTACATGTGAGGTTTTTCATGGGTAAGCAGTTGCTTGTCATGGGAAGAAGAGTGGCTGCTGTTGTTTCATCATGACGTGAAAGGCTCTGTAGACACTCTCCCCAGCTGTCAGAAAGATGCTATGTAAATTATGGCTAGGGTGAAGAAAGCATCCTCCTCAAAGAAATGGCAGCTATTGGTCTCAAAGGGACTTGTCTTTCTTCTAAGGGACTTCAAAATAGTCTGGTGAAAATGTCGACATTGTGTGATCAGAGAACAAAAGAGTTTTATTTTGCCTTTCAGGATGGATCCAGCTCTGGATACTGAGAAATTTCTCCGACCATCCTACATTACTAGTGTTGAGCCTCAAAGAACAGGGCCAGTAAGTGTGGAAGATATTAAAGCAGATCTCTCTGCTGAATTTTCTTTAATTTCTTCGCGCTCAAACACAAGCCTGGTAAGAAAGCTTTAATTGTTGCCTTGTTTACATTTTTTAATAAGCTTAGTCCTTTCTTCGATAAGAATAATCAGAATTTTATAGAGAAGATGAAGAGTACCTTTCATGTATTTCTCAATTCGGGGGAGATGCATAGGGTCAGGTTAAGCTGTGTGGCACTGCATCAGCCTTTGGGAGCGTCAGTGTTTTGTCAGTGAGACTAGCCAAGCATCAGTTCAGAGCAACTTAATGATAGAATGCTTTTGTGGCTTTAATTCTTGATCTGTAGTGTGCCTGAATGTAGTGTGTATACACACGTTGCAAGATTATTAACTCTTAAGTTGTCCCAGGAACCTTCTGCAGGGGTTGGAGCACTGGTAAGAACTGATGTAGTGAATAACATTTCGCTTCTCATGTCATCCAATATTCTGTTCAGAATAGCCTGGTGTAAATAAACCTGCCTTAATGTGCTAGTTATCAAACAAAGAGTCCAGTCAAATTTCTAACTTTGGTAACTTCTTTTTTTTTTTTAAGAGGAGAAGTTTGCAGTCGAAGGGACACATACAAGTTTGCCTGCGTGTTAGGCCATCTACATCACCAGAAAGAGAAAATGGATTGCAGGTGTGACATTTATTTAGTTTTAACACAGTTTACGTATATGGCAAGTGTTTGTTTTGTTTTTTTCTTTTTCCTGTAAGCTGAGCTCTTTACACTCTTTTTGTGCCTGTGTTGCTTGTGCTTCCTTTTAACAGGATTGTGTTTCACTTGAAGACTCAACAAGCATTATACTGAAGCCCCCTAAAAACTCTTTGAGCCAACTAAGTGAAAAAACTGCTGGACAGATGATGCAGAAGTTCACTTTTTCACAAGTAAATTAATTGTCTTGAAAAATTTTTAATTTATTCCTGGAAAAAGTTGTTGAACTTATTTAATACCAAGCAAAATAAATTCTTAGACTGTCGGTAGTTTTTAAGATTATAAACATCAAGAACTTAAAAGATTCTTTAAAAGTCTCTAGTGATTGCTTAAACAAAATAAAGTTGTTTGTCGGTGATGCTTAGGTGTTTGGACCTGAAACAACTCAGGAAGAGTTCTTTGAAGGTGCCATGAAGCAACCAGTGCGAGACTTTTTAGATGGATGTAATCGCCTGATTTTTACCTATGGTGTTACAAATGCTGGGAAAACTTACACTTTCCAAGGTACAAATAGAAATGTGTTTTCTTTGAATAAACTTCCTTTTTTTAAGTGACAGTTGCTCCTAGGAGAAATATTATTGCTTTTTATCCTGGGGTTAAACTGTACGCTCTGTACGTTAGCTTCTCTTGGAGAGTAATAAATAGCTTTTGAAAGTGTCTGCTAGTAACAAATATCACTAAACTGCCAATAGACAGAGCCACTGCCAAGAGCTGACATCAGCATATAGTGACACTGCGTTGTAAGGCTGCAAAAAGTTCGTGTGTAGGACTGCTTTTTTTCCTCCAAGTATCTAGAAGGTCAGGGAGGAGGGGAAATTAGGAAAATACTTCTATAGATTGGCATGTGAAAAGCAAGTCACTCTACACCAGACTAGCATTTTGGTTATTTCTATTATTCTAAGGGTCATCTGCATCTTGTGTACACTGTCATCAAGTAAAGAACAGCATTTGAGTCTATTTCAGTTATTATAGGCGAAAAATAAACATTTTGAAACCCGTTTGATTAGTTCCAACTATCTGTGTATTGTCTCAAGTTTCTGAGCTTATTAATAATATTCTAGGAGATCTTGTGTCTTGATGCACTATTTCTGTACTGTTAAAGCTCAATATCCTTTCTAGTGAGAAGATGCCATTCTTTGTTAAAATACTTTGAAAAATAATTAAATTGTTTCGATTCACATTGAAACAATTTCACCTACAATGAAATGGCAGTTCTGGGTGCCATACTGCTTATTTTATATACAGATGCAGTAGGAGGAGAATGAGTTTTGTGCCATAGGAAATTGGTCTCTACTGAAGTGACGTTGTCTTCTAAGTGACCTTCTGTTAGGTGAATTATAACTAAAGGGTACTGCCAGTACTTTCAGTTATTGCTAACCTAGGGCCATAATGGAATGCTCTTTCTTGTCCTAATACATTCCAGTAGTAGTTTAACTGAATATTTGGTTGCTAGCTTGGCATTTGAGTGCCAGCCAGATTTTACGTAGATCCTGATTAAGGTGGCACAGCTAGTGATAAAAGCCCACCTGCCTCAGGAGCAGGAGAGATTATCAGAGGCTGGGAGATGATGCTGTCAGCCTGCGATGGGGCAGTAGGTTTTCTTCTGCTCTCCTCTCCCCTTCTTCCCGTTGGTTTAGAATCAAAGTTAAAGGAACCCTTTTTAAACTTTTGTCTGGATTTGGAAAGATCAGGCATGCACTGAGGCTTTTCTTTGGCTTTGTTTGGTGTTGATGGTGCAAAAGTAGTATGTACTGAGAAAAGGGCCTGGGACAGGGAAAGGAGTGAGTCTTCACAAGGCTTCTAGAAACCTTTTTGCAGGATCTGTGGAGTTAGTAAAGGACTGCAGCTGAGAGATCAGTCGTCAGCTGTATTTCAAGATGTAGGATTTCATGAGGATGACTGCAGGACTGGAACACCTGCCTTATGAGGAGAGGCTGAGAGACCTGGGGCTTTTTAGTCTGGAAAAGAGAAGGCTAAGGGGGGGGAATCTAATTAGTGTGTAGAAATATATGCGGGCTGGGTGTCAGGAAGGAAGGGGCAATCTCTTTTGTGCCCTGCGATGGGACAAGGGGCAATAGACACAAATTGAAGCACAGGAAGTTCCACCTCAACATGAGGAAGAACTTCTTTACTGTAAGGGTTCCAGAGCACTGGAACAGGCTCCCCAGGGAGGTTGTGGAGTCTCCTGCCTTGGAGACTTTTAAGACCCATCTGGATGAGTTCCTGTGTGACCTGCCCTAGACTAGATGGTCCTGCTCTGGCAGGGGGGTTGGACTCGATGATCTCTGGAGGTCCCTTCCAACCCCTAACATTCTGTGATTCTGTAACTACAAATCTCTTAACTGTTTGTTGGTTATAGTTTGTTGGGTTTTTTTGTTTTATTTCTTCAAGGCTAAGCTTGTGCAGAATATGCCAGCAGTTTTTGGGTTGTTATGCCTCTTACTAAGGGGAAAAGCATGAACTGTTGCTGAAAGCTCAGCTTTGTTGCTTTCAAAACACTCTGATGACACTTCTGTTAGCTTGAATACAAAAACTGTTTCACACTGTACGTGGCCTCCAAATTCCTCATTTATGCATTGAGACTAGAATTATTTGTTTCTGTCTTCATTTGTCTGTATACCTTCTTCACAGTAATAATTCAGATCTTTCTTTTTTTTGTTGCTTTCAGGGACAGAAGATGATGTTGGTATTCTGCCAAGGACTATGGATATGTTGTTTACAAGTATTCAAGGAAAGCTCTACACAGCAATGGATGTCAAACCACATCGATGCAGAGATTACATAAAGCTGACTAAAGACCAAGAGAGAGAAGAAACTGCTATTAAAAAGTCAATACTTCATCTGACAAAAGAGGTAGAGCAGCAGTTGTTGCTATACTGAGTGCACACTTCACAGATAGCTCAGTGTTACCCTGTTCATCTAGCAGTGTGAAGAGACTGTATTTAAGCATGGATGTGTCTGTTTGCTGTCAGCCAGTCAGATTAGTCAGATTAGCAGTGAAGTGAGCAATAGAGCTGATGAAACCTGTTCCTCTGGTTTTCTGTCTTGTAGCTGAGTACTTGATAGGATGGAAATTCAAAGCTTTTTTCATTCCTGTAGCTTGGGCACCTTAACTTCCCTTCTGTGGTTACTGGTGCTTGGGAAATACTGAGCACAAATAGTCTTTCCATCTGTGGGGGTGCTCCTTTAAACAATTTACTGTCTTCCAGGATACTTGAAAGAAATCAATGATGTTGAGATTGTTCTCCTATTTCAGTTTGGCAAATATCCTTGAAGCAAAAATTTTTTGTTGGTTTTTTTTTTTTCCAAACAGCAGAGCTATAAAGCCAAGGGACTTCTAAAGATTTCAACTAAAATGGGTTTCTGCTGGACTTGATTCTTAAACAGATCACTATTGAGCAGTGCAGAAATACACTGCTCTCTCCTGGGTTGCCTGGAATTCTAAAGCTGTTTAGCCCAATTAGTTGTAGAGCATTTTTATTTTGTATAAGCATACCTTATTCTTGGTGGTTTTAGTTCTTCAATGAATTGAATAATATAGAAAGCCCAAGTATATGCTTAGGGATTTGTTTTACTTGGTTGTTTTTTTTTTTTTTGACAGAGCTCAGCAGAAGAAAATTTTCCTTATTTTTCTAAAGCCTTTCAACTGTAAGAGGTTTCAACAGCATCTTATTGCTTCTATCATGAAGCAATAAGTGGCTCACTTAATTTCTTAAGTGAATGAGTATTTTACATTTACCTCTGTTTCTGAGGGTTGGCCTAGTAAGCTGTAAGATAGGTAATTCTGAATTGGCAAAATAACAGTAATAAAAAATGTCAGGACTATAGATTCACCATGCTAAGACTAATGTGTAAACTGCAACTGGACACATGCAGATGATCCTGTAAAGTCACCCTGTTTCCATGTGGGCTCCCAGCCCTATATTTGTCTTTGGCTAGTTTTATTTTCTGGTTCAGCCACCTGAAATGCTGCTATGTGCTGTGATAGAGCCTGATGTGAGGGAAATGCCAGGAATGGGTATTGAGGTAAGAGCAACCCTTTCAACAGGAATACACAGGTGTGTTGAACTAGACACAGTGTGTAGCCAGGGTCTGTATATTGGCATAGAGCAACTGTGCTGTATTCTTACCCTGTAGGGCAATAGAGCTGTTCAGTATTGAACTTGTGGTGTACTGGTGGCATCCTGTCAGCAATGTATCTTACAGTGTCTGTTCTCTTCTGCAGGTAGACCATCAAAATAGCACTAGTAACAAAGTACCAGTTGATTCTAAAGGTATGGGTTTTTATTAAAGAACTGTAATTAAAGCTGGCAAAGAAACTGAATGTCAAAAACTGAATTCTGGCCTATGTTAATACTAGAATTCCTACCTGGCATTTTTTATATACCTGTTAGTTGGATAGTGAGCAAGTTCTCTGGGCAGAAAATGCAAGGACCAAATAGCTAGGAGAATACTTGAATAGGCATTAAATGAGATGAAACTATAACGAGGAGAAGTAGTAAAACTTATGCTATTGGCCCTAGTTGTATTCTGATAGGCTTTTAGGGAACCTTTATGTAATTAGAGAAGTTTAATTCTAGCTTTAAAAAATTCCCTGAATAGTAGGTTTGCTTTAAAAAGTCAGAATGAGGTCTGCTTGTCAGTTTAATTCTGTCTTCTAAAGATATTGACGAGACTTGACTAACTGTAAACAAACTATACATGTTTGATTTTGCAGAGGAAAAAGGAAGTGGTAGAGTAGGTGTCTCTTGGAAATATGTAGGGTAAGCATGTGACTTCCAGATACTTAAAGAGGAGGAAAATTTCAGTGAATTTTTATCTGGAGTTAAGTGGTTTTTTATAAGGCTGCTATAATACCAATTTTCACTTTCTCCTGAAAAAATGAAATTCGCTTTATTAGGCCTGTATTGACTTGTGCTGTTTTGTACTTGGCAGATTTGGAAGAACTGTCACAAGACTCAGAACAATCTAACGCACCTGTGAAAAAAGATGTGAAGTTTTCTGTTTGGGTTTCATTTTTTGAGATTTACAATGAATGCTTTTATGACCTCCTGATTCCTATACCAACTGACAAGAAAAGAAGAGTGCTACGCCTCTCTCAAGACATCAAGGGATGCTCTTATGTAAAAGGTAATTAGAATACACTGCAAACTGCCAAATGTGACTTGAAAAGTGGGTTGTCCTGTAATACTTCTTTGTAGATTAAAAAACTCTAACCTGCATTCACGGTGGCATTAAAAATGTCTATCTTGTGTATGAAAGGCAATAATCTCTATACATGGAACTCTCTGTACCTCTAGTAGCGTTTTCTCTTTATTCTTGCCTGTAACTCTTTCAAATCTTGCATGTACTCCACTGCCTTGATATTTCTTTGAAAAGGGAGAAATAATGAAAACAACTGAGAAATTTGTTAGTGGTTTGGTTGTTTCCATTTTCTTAAGAAAAGACTCCAAAGGTTAACTAGAGTTGTTATTGTCTCAACAGTTCTTTTTTTTTTTTTTTTCCTTCTGCATTTTGTGTAGAGAAATAGATTTTGCAGAATATGTGAGGAAGTTTAGTCTGACTAACTGCATTTTACACTAATCTAGGTTAATCTGTGGTGTAGTTGGTTTTGGGTTGGGGGATGGGGAGTTAACAGAACTGAAAATAACAGCTCGATATTTGTTTCTGACCATGGAGAAAATAATAGAGTGTGAAATCTGTTAGAGGTTCTTTAGACAGTCAAGACACCAATTCTAGATTAAAGGCTTTTTTGTAGGTGTTGGACCTGCTGCTTTTATCATTCGTATTCTGAGCTACAGATTTCAAAGCTGAACTGGATTATAAACCAAACTCCTTAGTTTCTTCAGAGACTGGAAAATGTGTGAAGTAGGAAGTAGTCTGCTTTGAGCTAATGCTTCAACATGGCCTTTTTTATGCAGCTTGGAAATATAAAGCTATTCCTGATGTTAATGAGTTAATGATTTGTTTTCTTGGTCGCAGCTGGTGTTTTTGCTAATACAATTTTGGTGGCCTCTATTTTGATATGGGCCATAATGCTCAGATTGTAGGTTCTGTAAGCTCTCTTAGGAGGGTTGTAGATATTTACTGTAGCACATACTAAGTTGACATACAGTCATACTGCAGACAGAATTCTTCACTCATCTTTTACAGTTGATGACCCTGAAAGACATCCAGATGGCATTTTCTTTTTTTTTTTTTTTTTTTTTCCCCTACCACCCTCAAAATCCTAGGCTAAAACAGAGAAGCTCTTCAGGGTAGATTTCTGCCTTGATGAATATGAACATGGGACTTCGATACTCATATTAGACCCTACATTTTTGGCTTTTAAGTGCTCAGTCTAGGGTTGCTCAATTCATTGGAATGGAACATATTTTAGTGTGCTATTAGGATGAAATAATGAGAGTTGCCTGTCCTTCCTTCTCCATGGAGTGGGGAATTTTGATCTTATTTGTCATCGTAATTTCTGTCTGAAGCATGCTTATTAGAATTTTTATAGATCTGAAGTAAATGTATTCTTCAGGTGTACATACATAATAACCTAATCCCTTCCTTCTTAGTAACGGTGTTTACAAAATTATCATCTTTGTCTTTCCTAAAGATCTGCAGTGGATTCAGATTTCTGATTCTAAAGAAGCTCTTAGACTTCTAAAATTGGGGTTGAAACACCAGAGTATTGCAAGCACGAAACTAAATGCTTGCTCCAGCAGAAGGTGAGAAACATTTTGCATAGTGTTGGGCATAGGATGGTGTGTGGGAGGAAGGTGAAACTAGGATATGATTTGTGGCTTTTAGGATGGCAAGAAGCTTTAATAAGGTCTAGGTATATCCATTTCACTTGTGCTGTTCTTTAGCAGTATGTGACCCAATATTTAAGCCAAAATGAGTCAATCCTTCAGTAAGGTGAATATATATGGAAGCTGACAGTGTTTTCTCAAATACTCTCCTTCAAGCCAAAGCGCTCGGCTTTATTCCATCTAAATGTCTTGAGGCAAAAGCAAAATAAGTGCTACATAAGTATCTCTTTAAAAGCTTGTACCTGAAGGAGTATATGTTAACAGATTCAACCCTGTTTTGAACAGCTGTTCTGGAGACTGTTTATTTTGAAAGTATTGGTAAAGTTCATCACTTCTCTGCTGACTTAAATTTCTCCTTGTAGTCACAGCATATTCACAATTAAGATACTGAAAATTGAAGATTCAGAAACACCACGAGTAATCCAAGTCAATGAGTAAGTGCAGGGTAGAGTCCTCCTTTTCTTTTGTGATGAAACTGCTGGTTATCTTCTGTGCTGGTGTATTGGTGCTGTACTAGGCACCCAGTGCTCCCCGATGGAGCCTTATGCACATATGGGGGTGTCCTTGCTTCTTACTGACACAGTGTTTAGCCCTCTGCCTCACACTGTCAGGCCACAGTGCTGCTCTGTGTCTTGTCCCTTCTGTTCAGCACAAGGTTCTGCTCTCTAGCCTCTGATACTCCTGAACTCCTCTGCGTCCTCAGAAGGAAGGAAACAGGGGGCAAGGAGGGGTAATGGGAAGTGTGTTGGGAAAGGGTTTGCCAGGAAGTAATGTGAAACTTTAATTGGGGAAGCAAAGGTTCTGCACTCTAGCCTCTGATACCCCTCCTTGCCCCCTGTCTCCTTCCTTCTGAGGACGCAGAGGAGTTCAGGAGTAATGGGAAGTGTGTTGGGAAAGGGTTTGCCAGGAAGTAATGTGAAACTTTAATTGGGGAAGCAATATTGAAAAGGATGGAAGTGTTCATGCAGATGAAGATCTAGAAATTTGTCCTCCAAGAAAAGCAATTGTTTTAAAGAATGAATAATTGTTGCATGTTCTAAGGTAAATACAGCAAATTCTTCTCATCTGCTTTCAGATTGTCTCTGTGTGATCTTGCTGGTTCAGAAAGATATACTAAGACCCGTAATGAAGGTGATAGATTGAAAGAGAGTGGAAACATAAACAGCTCTCTCCTGGCTCTAGGAAAATGTATTCATGCACTCAGGAACTCTCAACAGGCAAAGTAAGTCCCGCTATTAATTGCAAATGGGTTGGTTTTCTTAGGTATTGCCTACAATGTCTTTTTCTGATCATAACAGCTTGGAATTTTAACAATGTAGAAGAAATGTTCTGAAGCATGGTCTCTTAAAGTGTCCTACTTGCAAAGTGAGTAGGAAGCAGTAACTTTCTTAAAACTATTCTTGTTTTAGTTCTGCAGCAAAGCTGCTTAGGAGCCATATATGTATTCTGACAGGAGTGTCACTGTCTTGCTGAGTCCTGTAGCACTATTCATATATCTGAACTGCTGTCATCTGTCCAAAATGCGGGCAACATACTAAGTTGCAACTGTGCTTTAGTTTTAGGGATTCTTATGATTTCCAGTAAGCACTGAAAACTACATCACTAGCTGAACTCAGTGGTACAGCTTCTGATTTATGCAATACCAGATTGCTGAGGAATTAGGGAGAATGTTCTGAAAAGTATCTCCCTGTGGTGTATGCTCATTTTCTTGCCCAGGCATTTGCTATTGTCCGTTCTCAAAGGCAGGCTACTGAGTGAGAGAGATCTCTGATTGTGTGGGATACAGGATGCCTAGAACTAGATATGTCCTTTTTGTGAACATGGAATGGAAGAGAGAGGAGGGGTATAGTTTGATGTAGCATGAGCTGCGTGACCTACCTAGGCTAAATGTTCAACATGCTTTTGGCTTAAGTGCTTCCACTGATGGTATTGCAACAGCCATTTTCAGAAACGGGCTAAAGCAGCAGTCCCAACAGCCATGCAGTCTCTGCACAAATAGTTGCATCTAGCCCAAGGCAGTTTCAGTTAATGAAAGCAGTAGTCTTTAAATCAATATTTAAGTCTTCAGGCTGGATAGTTCTTATGCTGATAGGAATTATTAAACTTCTGGTCATCTTTTTTTTTTTTTTTTTTTTTTTGTCTTCAAAGCTGGCAGCAGCACATACCCTTTCGGGAGAGTAAACTTACTCATTTCCTCCAAGGCTTCTTCACTGGAAAGGGAAAGGTGCACATGATAGTGAACATAAGCCAGTGTGCATCAGCGTATGAGGAAACAGTCAATGTGCTCAAGTTCTCGGCCATTGCACAAAAAGTAAGTGTGTTGTGCTTTATTTGGTTAATCAGTACTTATTTGCATTTAAAGAGCAGGCTTTCTCACTTCTAACAATATGAATTGAGCTACTGGATTTTTTTTCTGTATCATATTGAAATGATATTTTCTCATTATTTCCAGTCAGGATTTATTTCCTCGAAGTTTTTAAGACTGTTTTGTTGGGACAGTGTTTTTCCCTTGGATTGTGGAGGTGGGAGCATCTCCTAGTGAAAATCTATAATTTCTATAAAATGTCCAACCTCAGAAGACTTGCTATACTTTGAAAGAAATTCTACTGAGATCTGGATAAATTTTTTTCTTCTGTACTCATAACATCCTCTCACCTAGGAGCAATTACAACTGCCCCATATTCCAGATTAGGATCGCAGTAGCATATTGCTCACCTGAAACATTGACAAAATAGATTGAGCAGCAAAGAGAGCTGGAAAAGCTGTCTCTATGTCCATAGAGGCTTCAGTGGGAAGGTGAGGTTGGGTAGAATGAGTGAAAGTAGAAGTGCATTGATATAATCCTGGGGAAGCTGGAAGATGAAAGTATCAGAGGTAAGTGCTGCAGCCTTACTGGAAGCTTTGGAAAACTTCTGTTGACAGTTAATGTGTTCAAAGGACCATAGATCCAGACAATTGGAATACGGGCTTATCTAAGCAGGTGAAGTACAACACTAGGAGGAGCAGACTGTAACAGTAATACAGCTGTTCAAGGAATAGAATTTATAGGATAACATTTGTCTGATGTAACTAGAAACTCAATGCACAGGAAACACAGCAGGTTGATGCATGAGGTGGTGACCCTCTTGTAGATGGTTGAGCTAGGGAAACTGTGTTCCTGGGATCAAGAGAACGGTTAGACTATAAAGTGACTCCTTTGTACTCTATCTGGAAACTGGTCTAAATAGTAACTGAAAAGCAGGTAGGCTGGGGAGGTACTGTGCTCCAGAGACCTGTGGAAAAGTGCAGGAGGGATCTCTTGAAAATTTCGGAATGACTTTATTCTTTTAGAGGGATCTCTTGAAAGTGTCAGTAGAAAATTTCGGAATGACTTTATTCTTTTTCTCGGTAGGTTGTAGTTATGGACACAGCTGTTCTCCCCCAAGATCAGTCATTTGGCCAGAGATTGGCAGGAGGGTCATCACTACCTAGTTATGAAGAGGCAATCCCAGGGAGAAGAGCTACTATCCCATGGGACAGCAGCTTAGAAGATGTGATTGAAGATGACATTGGTGAGATGGAGGAACAGCATAATACATTGGGAGAAGAAACAGTGCAGAAACAAGAAGAAAGTACAGTTCTTCTTAGAAGAGAAGTATATATGGTATGTGCCAGGGCTCCTTTGAGAATTAGTATAGCATGGAGCCTTGAAGCAAGGTTTTCTCCAATCTTTTTTTTTTTTTTTGCTGCTCACTCTTATTCGAACTCAATTCAGTGTTAAGAACTAAGTGGAATTACTTGTGATCTAGAGCCTATTATGGGAAAACTCTGAAGTGTTTCTAAATGCAGACTGAGCAGTAAGGACTGCAGATTTGACTCTCCCCCTTTGGTAGCCTGTGATCAATGCACAGCAAATATTACCTGTTTTTTAGTGAGACAGAAGACTTTTCCTTTGGTTCTATGCAGAAGAAAAATCTGAAAACCGTCCTATAAGGAACAGCAATGCGAGTCAGTTCAAGGGAAGGAAGGGGGCTGGAGACTTCTGTGGGGATTTCATTAATATTGTCCCAAAAATGAGCATCTGGAAAACGAGAGAGCCCATGGAGCTTAAGCCTATTTTTAAAAGACAACTTCAAGAATTCTTGTAATAAGCTTAATGTTCTTGGCAAATACCTGATGTGTGCAAACTTAAATTGCTGTGCTCATTCCAAACATGTTTCAATCTACTTATGAGTTCTTCCGTTTATGAATAAGCTAATAAAAAGAACTGGAAGAACTTTTGCCAAACAGAAGAGTAAAATGTTATAATGTCTAAGAAATGGGGGATGGGGGGGGAACCTCACTACTGGAAAATTATTTCTTTATGAAAAACTTAATACTAATGGTAATTTCAGGCACTGCTGAGTCTCATAGAAGACTTAAAGAACAAACTTATTACTGAAAAGAAGAACAAGCTACTGCTGGAACTAAAAATTAGAGAAGAAGTGACACAAGAATTTACCCGCTATTTTGCTGAGCAGGAGATAGATTTCAAGTAAGTTAGTTTTAAGTGGTTTAAAAGTTCCTGTTTTAAAAAAAAGTAAATTTGCTTATTTCTTAAATCTTGTATCTTGGCCATAAGAGACCACACTTGTATGCTAGACTTACTGCCTTTCTTAATAGATGAGTTTGTTTGGACTAGGAGTTCAGGAAACTTACTGTTTGGACAAGGCTTCGATTCTTAGGGAGCAGGCAGGAGTGTGTGTGGAAACCATCAGCAGTGTTTGCTCCTGTAGAGATCTCCCTGTGAGAAGAGCTTTGTGGACAGGTTGTTTGTAACAGTGACGCTTCCAAATTCTTTGATTACTGCAGTCTTACTGATACTCCAAACATGTTCTGGCTGAAGAAGCTTAGAAAAAATGCTGTGGTTAAGTGCTGTCCCTAACCTGTATATGTGTTGGTCTCCCCATCGTTCTTCAGGGCCGTGAGAGGAGAAATATACTTCTGTTTTGGTGTAGCAACGCAATTTTCTGTGTGATTCTCTTATGCCAAATAATAAAATAAAAAAATCTTTGTTATAGACAGCTGTACTAATAGCTTTTTAGGAGCTCATACTAGCTAGCTTTCAGCTGACTGAGTTTTCCTGCTATAGAGAACGTCTTTCTCAAGAACGAGAACGGCTTGAAGAAAATTGTGAAAGACGCCTGGAGATCTTCAAGGAACTTGTAGATGGTTCTCCTAAAAATGCAGATGAAGAAAACAAATTAAAAGATCGGCCTTGCAGTGAGCGATCTGGACCTCTGGTATTTTTATCCCCTCCACTAACATCCCTGTTACTAACTACCTGCTCTGGTGATGGTATGTCTCAGGGGTTAGAAGGATGGTTTCAGGGAGTTGCATGCTGTGTAAGTATCCTCTGCAAGACACATTTATCATGTTTAATAGGAGTAGTTGCTGAGCCTCAGGTATGCATTTAGGGATCTTTGGGATTTTCTGCATTTCTGCAACACAAAGTGAAAGTTACTGTATATGAAGAAAGTGGGGGGAAAAGCTGTTGTTATGGTATAAGCAATTGCATTAAGTGCTGTGATGGTTTGAACCTGCTGTTCCTGGTGGGTGGAGATTTGAAATCT